CCACGCTCTACCGGCTCTCGGAGCGGGTGGGGGGAAATGCACGTTTGGTGTTCCTGGGGAAGAACCGTGTGGTATCTGTGGTCTTAATGTTAGTCCAAGATCAGGCCCCATGAAGTTAATTGTGTCTGGGGGCAGGGAACAGCAAGCCCTGAGGTACATCATTCCAGCCTGTGACATGGAACTTTAGAAAAGCAAATTCTCGGTATCTAAGGTTTTTTTGTTTTGTTTTGTTTTTGGGGTTTTTTTGTGTTTTGTTTTTTTTGCAGTGGAAGGAGTGAAGTAAGAGGGCTGGGGCAAAGCACTGAAGGGACATATGGGTTGTTAGGGGCCCCAGCGCAGCTTGTGGGCATCAAGCTCTTGGGTCTCCTTGTTTTGTGGCCAAGCAGGCACTTGGACGTTCCCACTGCTCTGTGCTATGCACAGATCTCTGTGAAAAGCAAAACTGGGTCACAGAATTCGAGATGTAGACTCTGAACATCGTGCAGGTGCCTGCTGTGGAGGAATTGAGCCTGGGGCCTGTGCTGGGCCAGGCTTTGTAGCAGAGGTCAGTGCGAGTAAATCTGGTGTGTCTCCTGAGACTCAGTCTTGTGGTGAGTTTTTCAAACACTGTTGATACTATTAGGACTCTTCAAAGGAAATGAAATTGCTTAAGTTGAAATTAACGCAAGATCAGCTCAGCAGCTGGAAAGCTTTTGGAAGAAGAAGGTCCACGTTTAAATTTGAGTTCCATTCAGAGGTCCATGTTGATAAATGCATGTTAACTTCCATAATCTTCAAGACTTCTGCATAACTGCCCCTTTTAGCTGTTAGACTGGCTCCCCTCACAACATCAACCCATCAGTCCCCTGTACATTCACAACATCTCAGTTATTCTGCTTCAACAATCTTTTGAATCAAAGCACAAAAGAAAACTTGCTGCTTCACAATCTGATTTTTATTATTGAACTTGGTCATCTAATCTGTTCAGCAAATTAAAAGTCCTTACTGTTGAGTCATTACACAGCAACAATGAAATTATTGTTGAAACAACTTGCCACCAACGATGCCTTTTAGAATTAAGGAGGAGGCCCACAGTCTGAGCACCATTTTACTGATGTGACTGTCTTATTCAAGAGTCACTAAACCACCATGAATTCCTGATCTCCAACAGGAACACAGGAGCCATCCTGCCAGCTTAAGATTCCCCATGCCAGGGGTGGCATTCCTTACTGACTCAGATCTCCACCAGCAGCAGAGTGTATAAAACACTGCATGCTGCTTTTTCTGCTGTGCCATTCCAGTTGTGCAATTTCCCCTTTCTCTAAAAGAAACAGATACATGTTTATGGTTACTACGGGGTGCAAGCCAGGTTTTTGTTGCATTCTAAGAGAAATGGCCATTCTTGTGGCTATTAGTTATTGTTTGTACTTCAACAGTAACCAGAGATCCCAGTCTGCCCTGTCCTTTTATGGAGTTTGGAAGTGTACAAAGGTGTCCTTAAGATCTGTCTCCCTTCAAGGCCTTGTAAGATCTTACATCCCTGCCTTGATCATTGTCTTAAAGAGTATTTCTTAATACTCTTTAGAAAGTATTACATTAAATACACCAGGAAAAACAGTGATTTTTCAGACCCTGAAGTAAGGCCCATTTCCTTCTTCTGCGCGCATCCCACACAGCTCTTGGAACTTCAGAACAGGTTTATTTTGCCAGGTCTGCGAAGAAAAACCTTTTAAGTGTGTAAAGCACCAAGGGAGGTTCGGCTACCGGGG